GGAAGGGAAAGGAATGTGAATGAGATATGGATGGATGGATGAATGGACAGAGGGAGGGAGGGAGGAGGTGGGGAAAGAAAAAGAAGAGGAAGGAAGGACCACAAACCCTGGCACCAGACGCAGCTTCAGAGGATGCTTTGAAACAGCATAGCAAACAAGGGCTGGAAGGGACCTCAGAGGTCATCTAGTCCAACCCTGCTCCAAGAGCATTGTTAAAGTGAGTTTCTATCTTTTGACCCACCCAGTCACGTGACCACCAAGCCACGCTTAGCCAGTCACGTGACCACCAATCTAACAACTGGTTTTGTGGGCATGGTCTAATTTGTGGGTGTGGCTTGGCGGTCATGTGACTGGCTGGGCGTTGGTTGCTGGATCAGTGTGGGCCCAGCCAGCAACCCACACCCAGCCAGTCACATGGCCACCAAGTCACACCCACAAATTAGGCCACACCCACAAAACCAGTTAAGAAATTTGAATTCCACCCCTGCATAAGACAGTGCTGTGGAAGTTAGGTATTTAGCAAAGTGATGGCATGGGGGGCGGGTGAAACTGTGTCTAGTTCTTTTGGCATGCAATGCCCTATAGTGGCATCTTGAGGGGAGAAATTGAAACAGTTTATGCTCAGGATGTGAAGGGTCTGTAGATAATTTTCTCAATCGTCTTTCTAGTTTGGGCAGTACTGGATTACTGTTACTATAAATAACATCATAGCAATTACTGGAAGATTCCATAAATTTTGGAGTGAAAAAGCCAGAGATTAAGGAAAGCAAACAAGTTATAGTAGCATAATTCCTGAAATCAGGTGCAATTCACCCAGCCCTTTGACATGAATGTATTCCTTTTTATTGGAAAGTTCAGCAAGAAGAGGATTTTGAAACTTATATGGATCTTAGGGATAGAAAAGATAGCAAACAATATATATATTGTTTCCTGTTTTTCTCTCCTCTATAGAGAGATGCATATGGTAGACACTGTGAGTTGGCACAAGATGAGAGGTAAGTGACAGATCTTCTGTGCATATCTTCTGGTTTTAATGTGACAAGGTGTATCAGAAAATCTGTGTATTGAAAGAAAGTGCTGCCTTTCCAAACGCATAAAGTATTATTCAGCATGTATAGCATTCATAGCTTTACAGCTAGGAAATTCTATCAAGGCTTATAAACTGAGTTGTTATTAGAAAGAATGATGCTTTTCTTATTATATGAGCTTCCATTCGTAAATCCCATTGGATCTGAAAATCTTCACTGGACTAAAGAAAAATAATTTGCGCTGGTAACTCTACTCTGAGGCAACAAATTCTTTAAGCTGCTTGTTAAGAATGTCAGCACTGACCTGCTCTCTCATTTCTACCACTAGGTGCCCAGATGATTGTGGCAATGAAGGCTGTATCATTGGGCTTTGATCTGGACCGGGGCGAGGTACCAACCATTCCGTCCCCAGTTGAGTTCATGGGGTATATCTACTTTGTCGGAACTGTTATTTTTGGACCCTGGTTCCGCTTTCGCACCTATCTGCAGGCTGTAGAGAGCAGGAAAATAGTGAGTGAACTCCAATGTCTATTATTGACAGTGTGGTGGGCAAGTTCTGGTTGGTGGGAAAGACTGGGCCACATTTCAACTTCGAAGATTTATTAAAAGTGACACCTTCAGCTTGGGCATTTTTCTCCGGGCTTCCTATAGTTGCAAACAATCAAGCCATGACAGAGTTGTTTAATTTTTCTATTTAAGCTCATAATTGGAAAGATTTGGGCCATGGAGAATGAAGGACCTCTATTTTTTTTTTATAGAAACCATACTACAGTTATTTTTATGAAATGATTATTTGAATTAACTGATTATTTGTTTTCTTTCATTGACCAGAATAGAAGCAGCCATATTTTTATTGATTAGGTTGATATCATTCTACCTACATATTTCAGTGTTTCTTATGTAGAGGAGAAACAGTGAAGTGGAATGTCGAACACTATTCCAAACCTTCAAAGATACGTTCATGAAGTATTTCTCTAAAGTACAACCCTTCCTCTAGCTTTGCTGGCTGAGGAACTCTGGGAGTTGAAGTCCACAAGTCTTAAAATTGCCAAGGTTGGACACCCCTGCTCTAGCTCATCCTCTTCAGCTTGATATGGCTCATTCCATTAAGAGAGGATTGTATCACCTTTTTGGGGTGGGGGGGGGGATGCACTCAGTCTTTGAGTGACTTGCTAAAGGCCCCATTGCGAAACTTAGGTGGATAGGGACTAAGAAGTAGGAAATAAAGAAGCTCACAATTAAATGGAAGTGAACTGATTTAAAATATAATTAAATCTTATTCAAACATTTATTTATATGCCAACTCCCCCATTAGAATATCTCTAGACCAGGGGTGTCAAACTCGATTTCATTAAGGGCCGCATCAGGGTTGTGTTTTACCTCGGGGGGGGGGGGCGTCACCAGGGTGGATATGGCCAGTATATTTTCACTCGCGTCAGGGGGGTGGGTGCCTGTGGTGGCCCAAGTGCTCTGTCAGTGAAAATGGGCTCCGAGCTCCAGTTTTGGCTGTGAAGGCCTCCTGAAACCCTCTGCCAGCAAAGATGGAGGTCGGGGGGGGGGGCACACGTGGCCCTCGTAAACTCTGCTTTCGCTGGCAGAAGTCACCACAAGCCGGTCCTTTGCTGTTTCCAGGGCAGCCCTGCAGGCCAGATCTAAGCACCCGGGCCTTGAGTTTGACACCCCTGCTCTAGACAATTATCAGCCACCCAAGTAGACCAGATAGAAAACACACAAGATGAGCCAACTTTACATTATTGTAAGTTTTTTTTTTTTTAAACAGACTTGCAAGTCTGAAGGTACAAATCTTCCACTATCTTTCTTTACTGCCTGATAAGGTAGGGCAGATCCTTTCTAAGTTTCTTTCTCTGCCCATTTCTCAGCTGTGGGCTCCCCTCCCTTTTAGCTGATCATTCTCTAGGCAGCATTTCTACCCCTCATCTCCCAAAGTCATTCCCACAGACCCAGAGGTGGTATTCAGCAGGTTCTGACCAGTTCTGGAGAACCGGTAGTGGAAATATTGAGTAGTTCGGAGAACCAGCAAATACCACCTCTAGATTTTACAGTATCCTTCCCCTGCCACACCCACCAAGCCACGCCCACAGAACTGGTAGTAAAAAAATTTGAATCCCACCACTGCACAGACCATGATAGCAGTACTCAATTTTAATTTCATTTATATTAGAGTATTAGTTTATATAATTTTGCAATTGCACTGAAGTTTAAAACAGTCTTCCCACCTCTTCAGTAATCTCCTCCTTCTATTGGAGCTTAATTTTGGAAGGGATCCTGTGAATCAGATCAAGGTTGTTGCATCTATGCATGGGGCTGGACATAAAATGGTGGGGACTGCTTTGTAGCTGATGGAGATGCATGTGAATGAAGAACTACAGCAACTGGAATCCACACAGAGGATGCTCATTATATAATAATTGGTTTTGGTTATTTCCACATAGACTTTTTCCTGGTTTCAGAAGGTCTTTCTGAGCTTCTTCCTCTGCCTTGTGTGCCTCATCATGTCCACCTGTGTGGCTCCCTATCTCTTCTCATACTTCATACCCCTCTACAGCTACAAGCAACTTAGGAAGTAAGTGCCTTGCTTTGAATTGATGTTCTAAGTTTCAATTTCCCATATGTTCCCGCAGCTGGAAATGAGTTTGTTAACGAAGCATGCCAGCAGAGCTAAAGGAGTTTTCAAACACCAAATTCTGAATTAAAAATCGAGTAAAACTTTAGGAAAAAAACCCTGAGAAATATTAAAATGAAATGTTTTGAAGTTTCTTACCTTAGTTAATGGCTCCAGCAATACCTTTGGATTTTTAGCTGTGGCAAGACACATTTTGGGATTAATATTTTTAAATATTTTTAAAATATTTTTTTAAATATTTTTTAATATTTTTAAAAGGATTTTTAGTATCCCCTTGACTTACTTTGGGGTTGGCTTTATGATGCCATCAGCCCTGGATAAAAAGAAATGGAGTAGAATCAATTGTACAACTATGCCTTTGAAATGTCAGCTCAGTTTTGTGCAGATTACTAGCTCTACATGGCTAGATTGGAAGTAGCAGCCCACCTTAATCCCTCCAGTTTCATTCTAAAAAGTACTGTTTAAGGAGTGTTATTAAGAAGAGATTCTGGAAATTGTAACTCACTGAACTCAGTAGGTCTCTGGTTTGGTGACTTCACATTTTGGATTTTACAGTTGAGAGGTCAAGAGAAGCTCAACAATTGTGGCACCTTTCAACAGCATGGGGAAAAGGTTATATGCCACTATGTTCTGAGAGGCCTCTTACTGTCAGTGTGTTTTTAATAGGGTGTCCATCATGCACTTGAAGATTATTGCGATATGTGTTATTAGACAAATTGGGATAGTGCCTCAGGTCCTGATCTTGGGTCTGATGAAAAAAAAAGAAAAAGCAGATTGTTAGCTGTTTAACTTAGCATTTCTCTTTACCGTTAAGTAGTGATTCTTGCTGGATATTGTGTCTCAAGTGAAAAATGATTTGAGGAAAGCACTATTTACCATTGTGCTTCCTCAGGCAAAAAAAAAATACATTAAGTTGATTAGGGCAGAGGAAATCTTTCTCTCCAGCTGAGGGTTCTTAATGGCTTATGTTGTACTTTCATCATCAGATTAAATATAATTCTGTGTTAGAAAGATGAGCATTTGTCTATGGGAACACTCAGGCTACAGCAAATCCACTTGCAATTTCCTACAATTAAATTGTAGGAGTTAGATTTTATCTATGCTGATCATGTATTTCTAAACCACATCTTGTTTATCTTATCATAAGAAAAAGTGGATAAGAACGACACTGAAGCTTGTAGTTCTGATACTTGAATATTGTATAATCCTACACTGCATGAAACAGAAAATCCAAGGAATATTGAAACATTTTAATGCAGGAATAAGGAATTGTGATTGTTCAGAATTGGCTGAACTCTCATCAATGCCAGCCAGCAACAGGAAGAGATCCTGGAAATTGTAATTCACTGAACTCAGTTGGCCTCTGGTTTGGTGACTTCACATTTTGGATTTAACAGTTGAGAAGTCAAGAGAAGCTCAACAAATGTGGCATCTTTCAACAGCATGCGGAAAAGTTGTGCATGTCATACTTTTCCCGCATGTATTTAATTTTCTCAGGAGGTGCTTTTTCCAGAAAACCACAATTCAGAATGTACAGTGACTTAAATGAACTCCTTTCTTCTCACTTTCTATCAACTTTAACTTTGTTTAATCCTTCTCTCTCCTCCCTTACTTTCTCTCATTGGGATCATATCCCTCGTGACAGGAAGCGCAGAAGCAGGTAATATGACTTAGATGATAGTAGTTGGATTCTTCCCTGGTCAGACATCTCATTCACAATTCGTGACATCTATATGACTGTTGTCTACATCTCCATTTGTTGTGTCACTTTATTGGGAACATGAGAGTTCTTTCAAGCTTATGTCAGAGATGTTTGTGTCCCAGCAATTGTGGTCTTGTACATTGGCATCAAGTCATTAGGGCTAATCATGTGACACAATATATCTTCAGAGGTCTCTAAACTTTCCTGTGGCCTGTAGACAAATTTCTGCATTAGTACCTCCTATGGTTGCTTTGCTCTATCAGTATGTATAGGTCTACCTTATTACCTTGAAGCCATTCAAGGGTTCAATTCCTCCATTGCAGAGGTGTTATATAAATTACGTAACAGCCAATTTTGACAATTTGTCATATTGGATAGTGTGATGACAAAAATCTGAAAACAATCAGTGGACACAAACAATTATTTTTTATTCTTAGCATGCTATCACAATTCCTTAGAACATTAGTAAAATTTGAAAGACATTTTTTACTGGGAAGCTCCAAATAGCCTACCGAGGTGAATTTATGCTTCATCCACCTAATATGGCCAGCCCTAAACTAAAGAAATAGGTGCATTCTTGGCGTAGCAGCTATTATTGGAAAGCAAAAAAGCAGATGATTAGTCAAGCCACAAGACTTTCTCACTAGAGATCAGGTTGCTCAGCTGAAAGCATACACTCCAGAATGGACTCTAGATCCATGTGGAACTTCATTGGTTTCTTGAGAAAGAAATGCCACCTCATGGGTGCTGGAAGTAAGACACTGGAACCTAACTTTGGGATCCATGACACAAGATACCAGTTGGAATATATTTCAGAAGTCAGTGCCTTAACAGCAGCTACTTTGCCTGTGAAGTGTATAACAAGTTTAAAATCCAGGTGACTTTCTATACCACGGAACATCCTGATTTCTCCAAACATTAGTTAAGAGTCATTACTTCAATAGATTCCATGAGTCATTACTTCAATAGATTCCATGACTGGAATTAGCATGTAGTGTTAATCCATCTCTGCTCATATTCATAGGCTATTTCCTAGCTGGAAAAATCTACAATTTGACTTGTTTACTTTCAAGAAAACAGCAAGAGTGAAGAATAGGCAGCTCTTGACTTATGTCCATTTGTTTAGCAACTATTCAAAGTTAGGAGGAAAAAAGTGATGACTGGTCCTCACAGCAATCGGTGATTGGGGTGCTTGGCAACCATCATACATTTACGACGGTCGCAGTGTCCCATGGTCACATAATTTCCATCTTCAAATTTGATAGCTAGCTTCTGAAAAGCGAAATCATTGGGAAGCCGGCAGATAAGGTCATAAGTTGCAACTCACTTAATGACCACTATGATGTGTTTGATAACTGTGGAAAAAAAGGTCATAAAATTGGCTGCCTCATCATGCTTCGCTTTACAATCACACTGTTTACTGACAGATTTTCCTATTCTATAATGGTTGTAAATCAAGGATTACATGTATGGTGAAAAGGGCTATATTGTATATTTTTTAAAAAATAAATAGATTCCTCAGCTATGTATCTCCAGGTGCAGTTGGCTGCAATTGCCATTATGCCCAATTCTGGCTGAGAAACTATTAGAGATGCAGTGGAAAGCCTGGATCAGGCCTTTTTGGTTTTCTTCCTAGCCAGAATTAATTCTTTTAAAATCAGCATAGAACCTCCACCCCTGATCCATCAGGCCTAGTCTAGCCCAGAAGAGGAAATGGCTCTAATGCAGAGTTTTCTACAAAAATTAATCAATGGGTAGCTTGCCAGGAGGGAGAAAAAAAAAAACAATTGCTTTTTGTTTAAGAGAGCATGGAAGAGAAAGGCAAGAGTAATTAGAATGAGAGCAAAAAAAAAAAAAGGAAGCTGAGTCAAACAGGAGTGATCTTGACACATAATTGCCCCAAAATGCCCCTTTCTAGTTTTAAGTGGGAGCAGTAGGTTTTTGTGAGTTTTTATGTAGATCAGGAGATGAGTCTTGAATCTAGACAGTCCTAGGAAAGTTTAATAGAGAGAGACAAGGAAATTTCTAGTATATCTCAAATGGTATAACATGACTTGGTAGGGAAGGTTAGATTATCCCAGAGGACCCAATTCTAGATTTCTGAGGTAAATGAACTATTCAACCAGTAGAAGATATTTGAGTTAAAATTCATAGCCCTGGCTGACTTGCATGAACTCTTGTGGATTAAATCAGTTGCAGATTTCACCAGATAGTCTAAGTGCTTTGCACCTCCTTTCCCGCCAATTGAATTTCATCCTCTCCCTATGACAGCAATAAGGACAGTGTGGTGGGTCAGGGGTTAAGATGCTGGGCTTTGTTGGGCTGGAAAGCCGGCAGCCCAAGTTCGAGATCCAAGTGCCACTTGATGGGGTGAGCTCCAGTTCTCGCCCCACCTCCTGCCAACCTAGCAGTTTGAAAGCATGCAAATGTGAGTAGATATATAGGTACCACTTTGGTGAGAAGGTAACAGTGTACCGTGATGTCATGCTGGCTACATGACAATGGAAATGTCTTTAGACAGTGCTGGCTCAATGGCCTTGAAACAGAGATGAGCATTACTCTCTATACTTAGTGGAGTAAAATCCACAGGAACTCCTTTACCTACCTTCAACAGCTGTACTTCACCATATTGCAGTCTGGCATCATGAACGAAGTCTATTAAGGCAGAGCTGATAGAAATAAGTATGCATGTGGCATTAAACATTGATAGGTAGATTCTGTGGGGAAGATCTCAAACATGTAATGAATGAAAGCAGATCTAGGAATATTTCTCAGTTCTTCTGCAAATAAGGTTGGAGGAAATTCCAGTGGCAAGAATGGAAAGATTCTCAGCTGGCTATAGGAAATGTTTGGAAGCTATTATTTCAGCCAAAGGAGCATTACAAACTCTGAACGCAACTTTTGCACCTACTACGTTTGCTATTTTCTTTCTACGTGTAAGTAATGCCATATAAATAGTAAGTTTGCACTCAAATTTGCAGAAGACTATTATGTTTCATTTTGTTCCATGTACAATTTCTGTTCACTTAGAGATTTACTGAAACCTACAATTTGGCCAGAGGTAGCTCAATGCTTGCATGCATTTCTGCCTTTTTAAGAATTGGCCTTGTTTAGAGAATAGGGCTATAATTTAGAGGCCTGTGTGATTTATGACAAATGAGCACCAGCATGCAAATTTGTTTTAATCTTTCGTGCTAAATAGCTTATGAAGGGACAAACTGGGGCCATTAAATCCATCTGTTTTTCCTCGTCATCTATTTCCTCATCTATTGTTTAAAAATACTTTGCAGGTGTGTGGGTTGCAACTATAACATTGCTTTTTTTCCTTTCTAGATTCACGTAGGCACTTTAACAAACTGCCAATACATACAACAGTCTCTAACCAGTGTATTAACTTATTTCTTACTTGTTTTCTGTTTGACTTCTCTCCTTTTCTTTCCTTTCTTGTGCATGCCAGGAGTACTTTAATGAGGTAAGTCTCCATGGGGCCTTAAACTTCTCTTGGAAAATTGGGTGTGCAACTATTTCCCGGGTTTCTAAATTCTCATCTCTTCTTATGTGCAGGTGGCTCAGGGCTTATGAGAGTGCCAGTTCCTTCCATTTCAGCAATTACTTTGTGAGCTTTCTGTCTGAGACTACAGCCACCCTGGCAGGATCAGGTTTTACAGAGGAAAAGGAGAATTTGAAATGGTAAGAGGGGGTGGAAGATGGCACCTAGAATCCTTTGCTTATAAGCTTCAAATTCTCAAAGCACAATTGGGAACAAAGTAGGCAAATTGGAAATGTATTAAAATATATATGAAAAGCCTAGTTGGAGGAAGCTTCTAATATGATATCTTTTAGGAATGAAGTAAAAGATCATTTTTCTTTGAGATGCTGGTAATCCTCTTACATTTGTTACTGTTTTTATTCCTAGTCGACTTTTGATCTTTCTCTCAGCTTTTCTCCCATGAGCTTAAGGTAGTGTGCATGACTCCTGTAGGCAATATATATATATATTAAAAAATATTACATATTCTTTGCTCCAAGGTGTCCTTTCCCACAGTGGTTTTCTTTCAAGTCAGAAGAAAGTGCAGAACACTGATTCCTTAAAATGATACTTATTCACAATCAATTTCATGCAAATTTCATATATTTAATTGAAATCTTCCTGTAATTTTACATTTGTCTATTTATCTACCTTTTGCATGCCAGTCACCCCTTAGTTATGCGGCATCATTTTTTTGGACTCCTCCTCCCCCCCATTTATCTACACTAAGAGAAAACATGTGACTTAATCTCATCCCTTTTAATCTTACCAGCAGTGAAAATACCAGGAGCATCCACTCTCACTAAAATCATTATTCTTCAGGTTATGGAAGCTACTGAAAAATTCTGCCATGTTAATTTAATTGGGCAACCAAGGACTGACAGAACAATATTGCCTGCTTAATTATAAACATAGTTTTGTTGCTTAATGCATATTTAATGAATAATGCAGTATTTCAAAATTGAAAATCAATTGATTATAAGGTTAGAATAGAATAGAATAGAATAGAATAGAATAGAATAGAATAGAATAGAATAGAATA